TGTCTGTCTGTCTGTCTGTCTGTCTGTCTGTCTGTCTGTCTGTCTGTCTGTCTGTCTGTCTGTCTGTCTGTCTGTCTGTCTGTCTGTCTGTCTGTCTGTCTGTCTGTCTGTCTGTCTGTCTGTCTGTCTGTCTGTCTGTCTGTCTGTCTGTCTGTCTGTCTGTCTATATAAAGCTAGTGAATAAGTGATAGTCTAGTCCAAAACTATTGAACAGGTGTAATGTTTAGTTTATCTATCTAAAGGTATTGAACAGGCGATAAAGTCTAGTCTATCTATCTAAAGGTATTGAATAGATGATAGGGTTAGGTTCATAGATCTAAAAACCTGAAATATGTCAAACGGTCGAGTTAAGTCGTTAGTCAAGGTTCCCTCGCAACTGCTCCGTTCCCGCGCCAGCTGAAATCGCACGCAAGTGTCCCCGCTGTCCCATTTGAAAACTAATGAAAGACATGTCCGGCTCACCAAGTATTGAAGCTCGCACACTCCAAGCACATACACAAGGCAGTTGTCAAACGTGCCATCACTAACAGCCCTAAACCAGAATTGAAGCTCACTGTTGAAACAGTCAGTCAGTTAGGAAAGCCGGCATTGCACACACACTACTGCAGAAGTACACACCATTTCGAACATAATCGGCCAATCGTTATTTCTAGTGCAGGTCACAGCACAAAGCTGTCGCAGGCACCACCAGAAACAAACTGAAATCATGTAGGTCATACTACATGAAATCCGTAGTTCACAGTGTCGCACCAGGCAATCAACTGGCGACAGTGGTATGCTAGTGATCTGCTAAATTGGACCGGAAGACACAAAACTAGCCGAGTCCTTATAGCTAGAGGTAAGTAAGGTAAAAAGTAAAGGACCTTTTCCACGCCTTTAGGAGTATAGGGCATATAGGGCTTTACCCAAATTTTAAAGACCAGTCGCCACAAGATAGGGGATGTAGTCAGAATCACGCCGGCTGTATTTACTTCCCGGGACTGCACTCTGTACCCGACTCAAGGCTGGGTCAACCTGGGAGCCAAGGTCATTTTTGAAAAAAGTTTGGCTCTACCAGGGAGCGAACCCACGAGCTTCCGATCTGCAGGCCAGCGTCTAGCCGCTCCTTCTCGGCGACCCCCCCCCCTCCCCCATAGCTATAGGTACTGACTGCTAAATGATTGCCGTGTCCGTCTAGCTAACGGTATTTATTAGACGATTAAGTCGAGATAATATAGGGCTATTGAATTTATGATAAGAGTGAGTTTATATAGCTAAATTTAGATGGTAAGTTGGTAAGATCAGGTGTGTTGATCTGTAAATTAAATATTATTTAAAATATATTATTTTATTAATTTGCTAGTCAAAACATTATCATCATCATAATCATTGTCATCATTACTACTACTATAGTACTACTACTACTGCTGCTGCTGCTGCTGCTGCTACTACTACTACTGCTGCTGCTGCTACTGCTACTAGTACTAATATTACTACTATACTACTACTATACGGCTGCTACTGCTATAATTAATAATGTGCTAAATGCCAGTAATACAATTATTTACTTAAACTAATATGAAATATCTTAACAAATACATTTTAAGTGAATTTTTATACATAGTGGGCCTTTAAGTCTTCTTACCAAAAATAAATTGTGGAATGTTGGGGAGGGGGGGGGGGGCTCAAGAAGTATCAGAGGGTCTCAGACGATATTATTTTTTCCAATACCATAAATAATAATAATAATAATAAAAATAATAATAATAAATGGGGCCCCGCCCTGGAGCTCACATGGGGACTACGTACAGCAACTCTGAAACAAGTGCCAAGCATTCAATTATCTTGTTATCTCCCTTACTGTTAGCCTTTACAATTTAACATATTTTACATGTCTGATAAAACGAGAGCTCACCTGTTACGCTGGCCTGGTATGGAGATCCAGCAATGGGTATGTTGCCGTATCTAATGGTGATCAGATAGTTCCCAGGACAGAAAGGCGTGTACGTGAACTCGTAGCCTTCATCGACTTCCTTACAGCTCAAGGCCGCCTTGGAGGGCCCATCTATGAAAACGGCCAGAAGACCCGAACCTGCTCCAGCTGTCTTAACCAGAAACTTGTTTTTGGCTCCTGGAGTTGAAAGAAAATAGTGGCTGGAATTAAAACAATATAAGCTAGTCACTAGTCGAGGTTCCAATCTCATTGCGCACGAGGTCGCCCCATAACTCATCCGTTTCTGAGCAAGAAGGAATGACGCAAAATGTCATTCGCAGTCCCATTTGAAAACTAGTGAAAAGCTTTGTCAGTCCCAGCAAAATCATGAAACTTGCACACGTAATGTAAAAATGCACAATGCAGCTGTCAGATGTGCTACAACAAACGGCCCTTCACCAGAACTGCAGATCACTGCTGGCGTAAACGGTCAGTCGTGAAAGCCTGCATTGCACCAGCAAAGGTACACGACAATCTAAACGGAATCGGCCATTCGCAATTTTAGTGCAGTAAACAACACGTCGCGGACATTACAAAAAAAAAAAAAAAAATTCTACACATAATCCACATCTCAGTGTCGCAACAAGCACTCAACACCCCCCCCCCCCACCCCCCCCCCCCCCACCACCTATTAGTGGGCAGTGCAACATAACAGAGTATCGATATATGGAGAGAATGATTCGGGGGGATGTGAGCAGAGCATGTAGACGATTTTAAACAACTAGACTAATGGATGTTTGCTCCAGTTGCCCATAGGCACTATCACCATAGGAGCATTTTGTTGGCCACTAGAAAGGGGACTTAGCACGTGTGCAAATGTTTTTATTTCTAATGTTATTTACATTTTAACATATCACAGCTAAAAAAAAAAAAAAAAAAAAAAAAAAAAAAAAAAAAACAAAAAAACAGAGAGAACTACTGAAGACATGGAACGCACATTTGACAACAAATACCAGCGAAAAATATTCAAAATACAACAGGGTGAATTTAATAAGGGTGAAGAAATAAGCGAAATTTCTGCAGTGGTAACAACAGTTTTAAGACAAAGAAGATGGCACATGAGAAGAGAAACACAAAACAGGCCCTTCAGTGGGAGATAAAAAGATTAAAGAAGCGAGGAAGTCCTGAAGAAGAAGAAAAAAAAACATTCCTTAGAAATAAAGTTCGTCAGAGAGGCCAAATGTGCTAGATCGAATTCCATCAGTAATATCGAAGGAATTGCACAGAACATAACCGAATTAGAGGAATAGACTGCAAGTCCTCTGTGATATGTAATGGCAGAGCAGGACAAGGATGCTTCTTCTTCTTTTCTTCTGTACTCCTGGAATGCCTCGCTACGTTAGGACAGGAAGAGATCTCTGGAACGGGTCCTTCTGTTTGATTCGTATAAAGTACTTTTCAGCGTCTCTGATATTTCTTCTGCGGTCCTTATTCTGCGCGGTTGACCTCTGGCTCTGTTACACATTGCCCTCAGTGTTGCCCTGTCCGCTGCAAATCTTGTTACATGGACAAACCATTTGATTTGTTGTCTACCTACTAAATTCGGTAATGGTTCTGTGCCGATTCTCCTCCTGATATCATCGTTCCTAAGTTGATCTTTCATCGTTACACCTAGCATAGTACGTAAACATTTCATTTCTGTCGTGACTATGCAGTTATATTCCCTGTGTTCATGCGGGACGAATTTTTGATTTTTCGAAAGCCCTACCCTGGCTGTAGTCAGGGGCCTTAATTTAACCTAACGATTGAACGGGGTTTCTGGGACCTCTCTATGGGTGATCCTTTTCCGATGGTGGCACTTTGTCACCGGGTGTTTATTGCTCAGTCTTGGGGGGGGGGGGGGGGTTAAAAAAAAAAGGTCAGTCAGTCGTGACTATTTTCCTTCTGTCTTCTGAAGACAGTGTCCATGTTTGACATTGATAGCAGAGCGTTAGTAAGAATTTTATGTTGAACAGTGTTCTTTTAGTGTTCATATTCACATACTTGTATTATAGAATTGGTGACATTTGGCCTAAAACTTGATTGGCTTTATCGCATCTTTACTGGATTTCTTTATTAATTCCTCCGTCTTCTGAAAAAAATGCTCCCCAGATATGTAAAATCCTTCGCTTGCTTTAACTGGTGTTTCTCAATTTTGATATTGGTGGTTCATCCTTTTCTGGAGAATGTCATCACTTCTGTTTTGTCTACGTTGATCTTCATATCGTAGTTGTCGCATTCTGAGTGGAGCCTATTAATATGTTCTTGTATAGGGACCTCGTTAGAGCAGTCGATAAGAGGCTCGCTTTCAAATCCAGCTGCGACTCTCTGCAGCCTCGGTCGGTGTTCGAAACCGGGCGGTTCACGGGGTTCACCCAACCTCTAGAAAATAGGTACCAGAGTTGACACTCTAGGGTAAATGGAGGAACGTCGCTGTAGCTGCAGAGTAATGTGCGGACGGCGACACAGGCGAAAAATTCTTATCAGCTGTCCGTACTGGTGGCAGAGCACTTATGGTTTATAACCGTGTGCAATGACGCTGGTTCACATCTTCCGAATTTACCTTTACCATTAATATTTTCTTGTAGTTGCACTGCCATTGGTTCTTTGATTGCCTAATTATCGGCGAAAAGCAATTCATTTAGTAATTCTCCTGTTGTCCCCTTCGCTGGGATGCAGGGATGCTGATGATGTTTTATAAACGTCTGGCCACCGTTTGATGTTGCAATGTCAAACATATGTGAGCTAAAAGTAGTTATGTCGCCCAGTTACTGGGTGCATGGTGCGGCACTGTGAGCTGTGAATTCTACATGGAATGCTTTGAACAGAAACCTCTCCCCTCCCCTATTATTCGTACATACACAACATAACTTTTAAAATCCTTTCTTTGTCCCCTCCCCGACACCATTATCTCTCTCTCTCTCTCTCTCTCTCTCTCTCTCTCTCTCTCTCTCTCTCTCTCTCTCTCTCTCTCTCTCTCTCTCTCTCTCTCTCTCTGAAAGAACATCACCCACAGGGCAATTACATAAACTCACCCCTCTTCACTTACCACATTTGCCATGTTCCAACCCCTCTCCACTAGCAGTAACCATGGCGGGGTCAGAGGCCATAGAACCAACCATAATAGGGAAAGGGGAGTCAGGGATATGGGCGTCGTTCAGCTTAACATCCACATAATGAACGCCGTTTTCTTTTGGAATGAAACGAACGGCGTAGACTCCCGAGTCCAAGTCCTGCAGAAAGGTACAATTACAGCAATGTTAAGATATTGACCTCTCATTGAGACTTACGGTATAACTCCAAGACTATCCATCCATTCATTCATCCATTCATCCATTTATCCATCCATTCATCCATCCATCTATCTATCTATCCATCCATCCATTCACCCGTCCATTCACCCCACCCATCTATCTATCTATCTATCTATCTATCTATCTATCTATCTATCTATCTATCTATCTATCTATCTATCTATCTATCTATCTATCTATCTATCTATCTATCTATCTATCTATCTATCTATCTATCTATCTATCTATCTATCTATCTATCTATCTATCTATCTATCTATCTATCTATCTATCTATCTATCTATCTATCTATCTATCTATCTATCTATCTATCTATCTATCTATCTATCTATCTATCTATCTATCTATCTATCTATCTATCTATCTATCTATCTATCTATCTATCTATCTATCTTTCTATCTATCTATCTATCTATCTATCTATCTATCTATCTATCTATCTATCTATCTGTCTGTCTGTCTGTCTGTCTGTCTGTCTGTCTGTCTGTCTGTCTGTCTGTCTGTCTGTCTGTCTGTCTGTCTGTCTGTCTGTCTGTCTGTCTGTCTGTCTGTCTGTCTGTCTGTCTGTCTGTCTGTCTGTCTGTCTGTCTGTCTGTCTGTCTGTCTGTCTGTCTGTCTGTCTGTCTGTCTGTCTGTCTGTCTGTCTGTCTGTCTGTCTGTCTGTCTGTCTGTCGTCTGTCTGTCTGTCTGTCTGTCTGTCTGTCTGTCTGTCTGTCTGTCTGTCTGTCTGTCTGTCTGTCTGTCTGTCTGTCTGTCTGTCTGTCTGTCTGTCTGTCTGTCTGTCTGTCTGTCTGTCTGTCTGTCTGTCTGTCTGTCTGTCTGTCTGTCTGTCTGTCTGTCTGTCTGTCTGTCTGTCTGTCTGTCTGTCTGTCTGTCTGTCTGTCTGTCTGTCTGTCTGTCTGTCTGTCTGTCTGTCTGTCTGTCTGTCTGTCTGTCTGTCTGTCTAATTTGTCTTATCGGTCTGATCGGTCTGATCGGTCTGATCGGTCTGATCGGTCTAATCTGTCTAATCTGTCTAATCTGTCTGGCCGGTCGGTCGGTGGGTGGGTGGGTTGGTCGGGTCTGCCAGTCTGGTCTGGTCGGTCTGGTCTGGTCGCTCTGGTCTGTCTGTCTAGTCTGTCTGTCTAGTCTGTCTGTCTAGTCTGTCTACTTTGTTCACGCCTGCACATATCTTTTTTAATATCCAGAAACTATGAGTTCTTAACCCTTTGACTCTGTCTTATGGATATCGCAACCCTTCGGCCTTGATTCCATGATAGGTACCGTAAGAGAGAGAACTTTGTTTTTAGGGGTCGTAAATTGGGTACATTCAGTAAAGTCTGGGAGACCGAAGAAATACCAGCAGACTGGAGGGAAGGATATCTTGTGAAACTGCCCAAAAAAGGTGATCTACAGGAGTGTGAAAACTATAGAGGAATTATGTTGCTGTCAGTTCCTGGAAAAATATTAAGTAGAATTATTTTGGAAAGATTAAAAGATGCTATTGATAAAATGCTAAGAGATGAGCAGGCGGGTTTTCGGTCCAACAGATCCTGTACTGATCAGATAGCCACATTACGTATTATAATAGAGCAAAGCATTGAACTGAACTCACCACTTTACATTGGATTTATAGACTATGAAAAAGCATTTGACAGCATTGATAGGGAATCTCTCTGGAAATTGATGGGGCACTATGGAATCCCACAGAAAATTATCAACTTAGTAAAGGCAACATATAAAGACATGAAATGTCGAGTTCTTCATGAGGGAAAGCTAACAGATGCATTTGAAATAAAAACAGGTGTGCGACAGGGATGTCTTTTGTCGCCTCTCCTATTTTTACTGGCTATAGACTGGACTATGAAAACAGTAACTGCTAACACCAAGAATGGAATTCAGTGGACCCCTACAAAACAGCTTGATGATCTGGACTTCGCTGATGATATTGCCCTTCTGTCCCATTCACGGAATCAGATACAAGATAAATTAAATATACTTAATGCGAGATCACAGCAGCTTGGTCTGAAAATCCATAAAGGAAAGACAAAGATAATGAGAATAAATCAGGCAAATAGTAATGTGGTTTCTCTTGATGGCACCCCACTCCAAGACGTGGAGTCGTACACCTATTTGGGCAGTAATGTAGATAAAGATGGAGGAACTGATAGAGATATTAAAATAAGAATACAAAAGGCAAGAGGGGCTTTCATAGCACTAGGGAATTTGTGGAGGTCAAAAGAAATTAAAAGAAATACTAAACTAAAAATTTTTAATTCTAATGTCAAATCAGTACTATTGTATGGGGCGGAAACATGGAGAACAACGAAGGCAATTACTAATAAATTACAGACATTCATTAACTGGTGCCTGCGCAGAATAGAGGGAATAAAATGGTATGATAGAATAACTAATGTAGAACTTTGGGAGAGAACTAAACAGGCTCCAGTGGATCAGGAGGTGAGGAAAAGACGCTGGCGTTGGATAGGGCACACACTGAGAAAACAGGAGAACAGCATAACTAGAATGTCTTTGCATTGGAACCCACAGGGGCATAGGAATAAAGGAAGGCCAAAAAACACATGGAGAAGAGAGCTGGAGAATGAGGTTAGAAAGATTGGGAGGACATGGGGAGAGCTCCATGTAATGGCGAAGGATAGAACGACTTGGCGTGAGTTGGTTGAGGGCCTATGCTCCATTGGGGGATAAAAAGGCAGAAGAAGAAGAAGAAATTGGGTACATTCACACATACACACGAACGCACGCACGCACGCGCACACACACACATATATATAAACTGACATTGGCTTTCAGGTCGACCCACCCTGAAAGTGGTACGAGGTAATATCCAGGGAAACAAGGCGGTCGGGATTATGTCGACCACATCACCCAGCGAGGACCGGTTGTCTATAAACACACGGAGCTAGCGTGATATACCTGACGCTTTCTACTAACGTGATGGCAGACACCCACCTGGATCATGCAGTCTGTGTGTCCACCAGAGGGCGTGCGGACGGTGGCGTGGAGGTGACCTTTGGCCCCGTTGAAGGACACAGTGAAAGTCACCGGCTTGTCGATCTGTGGCGGGATAAAGGACATCAAATAAAGTTGCGGTTTATGATGGAGGTGAAGTTGTTGGTGTTGGTTTTTGTTGTTGTTGTTGTTGTTAGTATTACTGTTTTCTTTGGTATTGTTGGTGTCGCTGTTGTTGTTATTATCGTTGTTATTGTTGTAGGTTTTGGCGGTGCTGTTAGCGCTAAATTGCTATTGCTGTTGTTATTGTTTTGTTAAAGTGTTAATATTATAATTGTTGTTATTGCTGTTTTCGATGTTGTTGCTATTAGTGCTGTTGTTATTTTTGTTGTTGTTATGTTTGTTGTTATTGTTATGTGTGTTGTTATTAGTATAGTTGTTGTTTTGTTGTTGTTATTGCTATTGTTATTGTTGTTGTTGTTATTATTAGAGTTGTGTTGTTTTTGTTGTTAATATTTATTTTGCTGGTGTTGTTATTGTTGTTTTGTTGTTGTTGGTGGTGGTGGTGGTGGTGTTGTTACTGATGTTGTTGTTGGTGCTGCCTCCTCCTCATCCTTCTTCTTCTGCTTCTTCTTCTTCTGGAACCACCCCCCCCCCCCCCCCACCCACAATCGTTGCCTTCCTTTTTCTTCCTCTTGTCCTTCTTCTGCTTCTTTTTCTTCTTCTTCAACTGCTGCTTCCCTTGCTGCCCTTCTTTTAGTTCTCTTAGTCTTCAGCGAACATCGCTTGCTAGGCATTTATTCTACGCTTTCAAAACGGCGCGGTTGTTTAATGGTGTCCATCTAAGACCAGCCTCATTCATCTTTTATGTTTATGTGTGTATGGGCTTAGTTGTCTGTAGTTACATATGTGAGCACTTATGTATTGGAGTACTTAGGTGTGCATATGTGTCTGAGTGCGCATTATGTGTACGACTGTGAGTGTGCATCTGTATACATGGGATCGTGTGCATGTGTGTATGATTTTAATTTAATGTGTGTGAGTGTACGTGTGTGTGAGTTTCACGTAGAACCCACCGAAAGACCCCGATCCTTGAGAGAGTGGACCGAAACCTGCCTGGCAACCCCGCTGTCTGGGGCGATGTTGACCATAAAGGGTGAGCCCGGAATGTGATTGTCGTTGTGCTTGACGTGGACGCCGTACATCCCTGCAGGTATCAATATGATAATGTAAGTTAGCATTTCTTTATTATTATTGGACACACACACACACAAACACGCGCGCACACACACACACACTGTGTAGAAATGCTAGAGAGAAAGATGGTACAGATATAGACCGAGAGGAAAAGAGACAGGCAGATAGAAAAATTACAGAAAGAGATCGAGAGACATGTATCGACAGAGAGAGAGAGAGAGAGAGAGAGAGAGAGAGAGAGAGAGAGAGAGAGAGAGAGATGTAAAAATGCTAGAGAGAAAGATGGAACATATATGGACAGAGAGGAAAAGAGACACATAAAAAAATTACAGAAAGAGTTAGAGAGACATGTATCGACAGAGAGTGAGAGAGAGAGAGAGAGAGAGAGAGAGAGAGAGAGAGAGGGGGGAGTGTAAAAATGCTAGAGAGAATGATGGTACAGATATGGACCGAGATGAAAAGAGACAAAAAAATTACAGAAAGAGATCGAGAGACATGTATCGACAGGGAGAGAGAGAGAGAGAGAGAGAGAGAGAGAGAGAGAGAGAGAGAGAGAGAGAGAGAGATAGATAGAGGGAGACGTATACTGACACAAACAGAGACAGACACATATATAGACACAAACAGAGACAGACACATATATAGACACAGAGACAGACACATATATAGACACAAACAGAGACAGACACATGTATAGACAGACACAAACAGAGACAGGCACTAAATAGACACAGACAGAGACAGGCACTAAATAGACACAGACAGAGACAGACACATGTTTAGACACAAACAGAGACAGACACATATATAGACACAAACAGAGACAGACACAAATATAGACACAAACAGAGACAGACATATGTATAGACACAAACAGAGACAGACACAACGAGAAAGGAGGAGACAGAAATAGACAGTCACATATATAGACAGAGACAGAAGGAGTCAGACACACGGAGAGAGAGAGAGAGAGAGAGAGAGAGAGAGAGAGAGAGAGAGAGAGAGAGAGAGAGAGAGAAGATAGAGAACACGCGGAGAAAGAGAAAGAGAGGTAGAGATACACATAGAGACAGACACAGATAAAAGTACAGAAAGGAGACATTTATAGGTAGAGATAGATACATCTCTCGATAGGGATTGAGATACAGTATTACAGACATAAATAGAGAGGACGGTAAAGACTGATAGACAGACATAAAGACAGACATATAGAGTTAAAAGTCAGATACATAAATAATGAGATACACACACACCTACACACACAGATATATATATATATATATATATATATATATATATATATATATATATATATATATATATAGAGAGAGAGAGAGAGAGAGAGAGAGAGAGAGAGAGAAAGAAGAGAGAGAGAGAGAGAGAGCATGACAGACAGCGTGAGATGGAATGTATTGAATAAAAGAGAAACAGAGATGCACAGACTGACACAGAGACAGAGAGATATAAAGAGTTTTCGAGACAGACAGACATATACAGACAGATAGGGAAAGACAGACAGACAGATAGGGACATATAGATAGATGGGGACAGACAGATAGATGGGGACATATAGATAGATGGGGACAAATAGATAGATAGATAGGGACAGATAGATAGACGATGAGAGAGAGAGAGAGAGAGAGAGAGAGAGAGAGAGAGAGAGAGAGAGAGACAGGGAGGGAGAGAGCTAAAAGAGAATACCGAAACATATTCTGCTGCGTGGGAACTTATCACCTCACTTTGTATGTTGGTGACAAGAATGTGAGATATGCCAGTCGTCCTTTTCTCGCTGTCTCTCCCTGTCTTCTCTTTCGCCCTATCTTATTTCTCTATACTCTTGTCTCCCACTCTTTTTATAGCCCTCTCTCTCTCATTTTTTCTTTTTCTCAGTATCCCCATTTCTACCTTACACGCTCCTATTCCTTTCGTTCTCTGTCTCCTCTTTCCTCCTCTTCTCTCTCTCTCCCAGTCTATCTCTCCATCTCCTCTCTGTCAGTCAAACATCTACCACCATTCTCTCTCTCTCTCTCCCCCTCCCCTCATTCCTCCTCCCTTTCCCTGACTCAGTACATTCATATATTTGCCTGGCACCAGACATTTCGAATCTATGCTGAAACCCTGAGATCTACAAGAACGTTATAACTACACACGCATGCGCGCACACACACACACACATACGCACACACATACGCACACACACACATACGCACACACACACGCGGGCGCTCACACACCCACACACCTATCCACCCACATGTGCACGCACGCATACGCACACACACATACCCCCCCCACACACACACACACCCATCCACACACACGCGCGCTCGCACACACACACCCACACAATACCCCCACACACGCACACACACAAACACATGCCTGTGTAGTGAACGCATTTCTTCGGTCGACAACTTCCTCTTTCAACCTTTTTATTTCTTCTAGCCCTCGAATCTAACTTGTATCCACATGCTCCCACTTTTGACACGTTAATCCGTTCTGGCGTGGTGGTGTTGTTAATTAACTTTCACTTTGACTTATACAAGTGGTTCCCCGGTGCCCCCCGTGTGGGTTCCAGGGCCCCATTGTGGGGAAAACAAGAATAGACCCACTGCCTCCCCAAAAGCATGTCGTAAGAGTCGACTATCGGTATAGTGCCATTTTGTGTCACCAGACGTTATTTACTCGGTATGTGGTCCTAGAGGGGTTGAAGGTCAGTCATTGGCTTGTCCACGCGTTCAGAATGCTATGAACGGTTCATCTATTTGTGAATAGTCCGGTGAGTTTTTGTAGCAAAAATATTTTTACAAGATGAGGGAGCTTGGCCCTACGTTGAACCCTCCTTCTTTTTCCTGCGTGCGTTGGGCAGGCAGTGATCACAAAATAGACACTGAAATGGGAAACAGTTGGATATAAGGAAACAAAGACGTTCAACATAAACACCGAGACAAACGCTGATGAGAGCGGTCAAAGGTGTTGATCTCCATCAACGATATTAAAAGGATTGCACAGGACAGAAAGGAATGTGGGAAATTTACTGCGAGCCTGATGTGACGCAGTAGAATGATGATGATGATGATGATGATGATTTGTAAATTAACTCGTGTTTCAAGGAAACAATTAATATTGAGAAATATCCTCATGAAGCAGGTCCTTTCGAGAACGTCGCTCTCATCACGGCCCTCCTGAAAGAAACTCAATCTCTCGCCAGCCCATCCGCCTCGTGTGCTTTCAATGAAAACCTTAGGTGTCACCTAAATCCTGTGCCTATGTTCGTGCTGGTCGGCCTCTGCCTCTATTTTCTGGTACCATGCCTTTTATTAGTATTTTTTTTTTTCTTATAGGGTTAAAATATTTCAGCTTCCGGGACAAGATGCTGTTTATTAGCCAATTTTACCTCAATGATAAGTTTTTTTGGGGGGATAATAATGTAGTAGTCTCCTGTTGCATGACGCATACTGAACTCACTTTAGAATGTAGCATATGTCCCAAAAGGTGATCGTTGAACCAGCTTTATAATATTAATTATGTTACTTTTGAACACGATTTGAAATGTGAACTATGTCCAAATGCATATAAGTCCTGATGAAGATTTAGAGTGTTAACTGTGTTCCAGAGTAAATAACCTTTGAAGACGATTAAAAACTTAAATGTGGCCCATGAAGGAAAGTCAAAAAGTAAGTCAGAAATGGGAATGGGATGGCAGGAAAATGTAGTTGATTGTTAAACAAGGTGTCATTAAGTAACAGCAACATTGAACTTTATGTCGCCGTTTGTTAGGTGGCGCTAGGTGTTGCATGCGCATTCGCAAAAACAAAATGGCGACTGCAATTACGGAGTGTACTCTCAAAGACAATGTACTTTGTATGTGTGTGTGTTTTTTTTTTCTTTCTCCCAAAAGGCCTACCGGCAAAAGACATTCATAAGGAATTGCTTTGTCTTAATGCTGACAAATGTTTATACCGTAATGAGGTCAGGTTATAGCTATGTGAAATTTTTTTTTTTCAAGACTAAAGGAGTACTTCTCCTTCATGACAATGCCCGACCACGTACGGCCTGGTTAACTCAGAAGAAAATTAACCATCTAGGGTTGGAGCTTCTGGAACAACCATGTTAGAGCCCCGACTTAGCCCCTTCAGGTTTCCACCTTTTTGGTCCACTTAAACCCATCTTGGTGAGAGACATTTCGCGAATGATGAGGAAGTTGAATGTGAAGTGAAAATTTGGTTTAGAAAACAGAGCACACAGCTCTATGCAGCAGGTTTTGGGGGACTGATAAAACGATGGGACAAGTGAATCAATGTTAGTGAAAATTATGTTGAAAAATAAAGGGACAGTATATGTGTAAACGTTTTTCAAGTTCATCTTTTTTTTTATTTGAACAACTATTTGTGACTTACTTATTGACTCCTCTGTATGACCTCTTCATACAGTTTAGAACAGTGGTTCTCAGCCTATGGGTTACGACCCTTTAGGGGTCAAATGACCCTTTAACAGGGTTCGCATAAGACCACGGGAAAACACTTATTCACTACAGTTATGAAGTAGCAACGAAAATAATTTTATGGTTCAGGTCGCCACAACATGAAGAAATCTATTAAAGGGTCGCTGAAGAAGATTGAGAACGACAGATTTAGAATATCAACTGTTTCAATGAATGTTCCCCTTGAACAAGATTTAGAATGCTTCATATGTTTAAACTTCGTGTGTGCGTTCTGGTACCCCACTGCGAGGGATCCTAAAGGGTAGACCCACTGCCTCCCAGCAAGCATGTCGTAAGAGTCGACTAACTAGGGGTTTATTTCATCGTGGGAGCATCTGCTCGAGAAGCAAGGACCCAAGTCTGCTTACAAATAAATAATATCTGTAAAACGGATATGCAAAATCAGATCCACAATAAACAAAAATTCAAGTTCCGGAGCAATACTAAAGTCCAGAAGTGGATGAACAAATAATACTTTCTGCGTGAGTTTACAGCCGGTTTACACAAAGAAGATGTGTCCTTATATGCGAATCTTGAAATAAAAAGCTGTAGTGTGTCCCATTATTAAACTGTTCGAACATTACCAGGTTTGGTGACAACATATTTGGCGCCCAGGAACCCATAAGGTCTTGGCTCCAGCTGGATGTTTGCATTGGAAGGTCCCTCGAGACTGACAGTCAAAGTTCCTGCTCCAGCCTCACGCGTGTAGATGTTGAAGACATCTGGGGGGTAAGAAAACAGTGGTGAGCTAGAGGACCTCCTGTTTGAACTCATTGTCAAGTCTTTAGTTAACAACCACAGAAACTGTTCTGTACAAGTTAGGGGTGACTGTCGTTAGCAGTGCAGCGATTCTTCTTCTTATACTCTATGTTGTCTGCTGTTGGTAGTCATGTCTGTCCACAACCTTATGTTTCTTGTACTTTCAATTATTTCTGACACAGATGATCTTTCATACTTGGTGGCGTTGGTAGTCATGTCTATTCAGTCAGCTGTCTTGTATAATTTCAGTCATTTCTGACACATATGACCTTTCATATCTTGTGACATTGGTAATCATGTCATCTCCACAGTCTTCTGTCTGTTATACTGTCAATCATTTCTGACCTGATGATCTTTTATACTTGGTGGCACTGGTAGTCATGTCTATCCAGTCTTCTGTTTCCAGTACGTTAAATCATTTTTGATACTGATAATCTTCCATAACTTGTGGCATTGGTTGTCAAATCCATTCACAGACTTCTGTGTTCTGTACTTTATATCAGATCTAACACGTATGATCAACTGAAGTCCACGCCGTGTTACTTTAAAGACATGTCAATCCACAGTTTCTGTTGCGTTGGCTTTCAGTCAATCTGACACAGATGATTCTCTATGCCCTAATATCACACTGGCTAGCATCTGTCCCCCTTCGCCTCTTTTTCCTCTAACTTTCCTATCATAACGATGTACTCCAGTTTTCTGCTTCTCATCACATGACCAAAGAATGTAGATTGTCTTAGTCTGATGTGGGCCACCAGTTTTCTTCCCAAGTCGGTTTCTTTCCGGACATAATTACTGTTTTTTTAATCCAGGATGTTCACATAATTCGTCTGTAAAACTACATCACCAATGCTCCCATTTAATTTTTAGCTAATTTTGCAACTGTCCATGATTCACTCACATATATCAGGATATGATTTATTTAGTTCTTGGAATTTCTCTGTCTAACCTAAATCGACTAAGAAAGACTGCCCAGGTTATTCTTCATTGTGCGAAATGCTGTCTTTGGTTAAGCTATTCTACATTAATCTTCTTCAAGACACCTTCCATCTGTAGTGATTTACAAGGACCCTTTTCGCACACCCCATTCATAATGGGCATATAGGGCTAGACCTACATTTTACAGACCAAGTGACATTCGGTGGGTGATGTGGTCAGCATCACGCCAGCCGTCTTTACTTCCTAGAATGTTACCTGGTACCCACTCAAGGCTGGGTCGACCTGGGAGCCAAGGTCATTTTTGAAATAAAGTCTGGCTTCCTCAGGACCGAATCCACGATCTTCTGATCTTCTGTACGAGAGTCAGATCTTGGAAGACATTGAAGCCTTACCTGTATTATTCGTAGAAACAGCAGTGGTACACTGTAGACAACGTTCATTGTGAAGATGGCACTTTTTAAAGTTAAGGATCCTTTTTCTACACCTGCATCCATATTGGGCATATAGGGCTAGATCTAAATATATAGACCAATCAGCACTTGTTGAGTGATGTGGTCAACACCCCACCGGCAGCCTTTACTTTCCAGGAATTTGCTAAGTACTTTTTTACGGCTGGGAGCCAAGGTCGAGTTTCGAATCTGATGCGGATTTGAACATGAAACCTTGAGGCCGGCTGAAGGAAATCTAGCTCTTATACTACCGCAGTTCTTTCTACAAATTATTCAGACAGTATTTGAAATGACCAAGTGAACCTACTCGGCATTCCCACCTCGCCTTTCTCAAGTCCTGGGCCACCAACCTGAACTTTGTGAGGCCCTCCACCAGATAACTGGCCCACAGTAAACTGAAAGGGGCTGCCTGAAAATATCAAACAGAATTCATTCAGTAATCACTAAAGACATGGAACGAGATTTACATACATTCGAAAATAAAATGTCTAAGGAATTGATGTCTAAGGAATTCTTCTTCTTTGCATTCACCAGATGTAAACACTGGTGGAAAGTTCTGGCTGTTCGTCCACTTCTGGACTTCAGTCCTGTTCCAGAACCTGAGTGTGCATCCGATTGTCAGATGTGACACATTTGTGTGAAGACTGTTGGTTCCTTGCCTCTCAGGCAGATGCACACTGACTTCGCAGGATGATGTCGTAAAAGCCGACTAATTAGGGGGTGTTTCCTTCGAAGTCAGAGAGCATCTACCAGACAGGCGAGGAACCATCTGTCTGTATACAAAGAAGCCAGATCTGAAAATTAGATGTGCACGACAAGACCAAGAAGTGGACGAAATAACAATGAACATTAGATGAACTGTTAAAAAAAAAAAAAAAAAAAAGGGGAATGAAGTGGAATTTGTGGACAACCGCTGGTAACATCAGTTATAAAACAAAAATGATGGCACTATATTGGGCATATCAGAAGGGGATAATGAACAGAGAATCAACAGACAGTGAAACGGGAAATAGAAGGATTGAGGAAACAAGAACGTCCAAAGAAAACGCCATGACGACTCTTGTTGAGAGAAGCCAAGTGTGCTGCATTAGATTCCGTCTGTGGTATCTAAAGCGATGCACAGAATATAACGGAATGGAGTAATAAACCCCAAGCCTTGGGCGACATGTGAGGACAAAACAGAGTGGCGATGACTGATTCAGTTAGTTGGATCTCTGGTGAAGTGGGCAGACCGTTCGCTCGCATTCTGACAGCTGAGAGTTATAACTGCGGGTGCTTAATTAATATCCTACCCTAAACAGGGGGAATCCACAGGTCTCGGGACAGTCTAATATTTCAGGGAGTGGTAGATAGGCTGCATGCAGTCGTGGGACCTAGGCTGCACTCTCTCGGGGGACGTTGGTGGGTTGGGGTTAGGGCCAGTTCTATATATTTGGGGGTCGTTAAAAGCATCAGAAAGCCGGGAAATCAAGTCTTACCACTTTCTAAAACATGTTTGACTGTCCCGTGAAGTCATCTGGGGTAGGATATTAATAAAGCACCGAACTTCGTTCTTCGGTTGGAGAGTTTGGAAAATGTTTGGATGATCATTGAAGATCGTAACTGGAGCTTGGTACCTCGCGCCACGCAAAGCTGAGCCGTGCTATGATAGAGATGCGGCCGCATCATGCGGCGCCATAAAGGGCTAGCATAAACAGCGACATCTAAACACAGTATGAACTTTTGACCTGACAACGCGAAGCTGTTAGGGGCTGCATTGCGAAGGCATGCATTATACTGAGAAAATCTGCTGCACGGAACTGGTGCGACGCTATCATCATTACACCATCATCGAATTGACATCCTCATCATTTCGTTATCATACCATCACATCATTATCGTCGTCAATTCATCAGCACTATCGTACCATCGTCGCCGCATCGCCATCATCATCATGGTCGTCGTTGAAATTCTTATCGCCATCATCATCATGGTCGTCGTTGAAATCCTTATCGCCATCATCATCATCGCACGATTACCATAAAAATAAAGTAAAGATCCCCTTTCACGCATTTAGGCGTATCAGGAATATGGGAAGAGCGCCCATATTCCTACAGACCCTCGGCACTAGGTGGGTAATGTGGTCAGCATTACGCCGGCCGTCTTTACTTTCCCAGGACAGCCCATCCTGTTACCCATTTTAGGCTGGGTCGACCTGCGACACCCCATACCATGAAAACAATCCATGCAGCCAGCAGTGGATTTCGATCACGGTACGCTGGAATTACGAGTCGGACTCGCTACGCCTAAGCCAGGGACGACGCGCATTATTACTATTGGATCAGCATTGTCAGCATCATTATCACATCATTACCACGGTCGTTGTCATCATCCTCATCATCACCATCACCACCATCCTCATCATCACCACCACCCTCATCATCACCACCATCCTCATCATCACCACCATCCTCATCATCACCATCACCACCATCCTCATCATCACCACCATCCTCATCATCACCACCATCCTCATCATCACCACCATCCTCATCATCACCACCATCCTCATCATCACCACCATCCTCATCATCACAACCATCCTCATCATCACCACCATCCTCACCACACACCATCCTCATCATCACCACCATCCTCATCATCACCACCATCCTCATCATCACCACCATCCTCATCATCACCACCATCCTCATCATCACCACCATCCTCATCATCACCACCATCCTCATCATCACCACCATCCTCATCATCACCACCATCCTCATCATCACCACCATCCTCATCATCACCACCACCATTGTCCCTACTGACTATAAAAAAATCATACCCACGTTACAGAAATCAGAACAACCAAGAAGGCCCCACTCACCGGAAATATGCATGCCCTTGTGTTTGACACTGATAATGTGCAAGCCAGCGGCTTTAGGCGTCACCTTGATGAGATAGTGGAAGTCCTCCTGGTCCATGACCTCGCAGAGCTCAGACACGCCGTCGCGGTCTGTGATGGTGGCTTCCATGTCGAAGGGGTTGGTGCCTGTGGAGGACCGCATGATGTTAAAAACAAAGGAGTCATTGTTAACTTTGTTGCTGTCGTTGATGTTGCTGTTGTTAAAGGCAAGCCAGCAGCAGCATCAGCTGAAGTAGTGGTAGTTATAGCTGCTGGAGCACCGCATTAGTACTAGTTGTAGCAGCAACAACAGAAGCACAGCAGCAGCAGCAGCAGCAGCAGCAGCAGCAGTAGTAGTAGTAGTAGTAGTAGTAGTAGCAGCAGCAGCAGTAGTAGTAGTAGTAGTAGTAGTAGTAGTAGTAGTAGTAGTAGTAGTAGTAGTAGTAGAAGCAGAAGAAGTAGCAGTTATGGCAGCAGCGTCAGAAGAGGAAGTAGTGGCAGCAACAGTAGCAAAAGTTTATAGCCACACCAGGACAGCGCTGCAGAAGTAGTAGTAGTTACAGCAGCAACAACTGCAGCACATCACATCAGTAATAGTGGTAGTACTAGCAGCAACAGCAACACCAGTTTGATGTGTGTCTAAAAAAAGTTAACATCATTTCTCAAACCACCATAAGGTGTAATGTCAATTAAAGGGAATGAACCAACTAAAGCGTCGTCCTCCTCCTCCTCCTCCCCATCAACGTCAGCAGCAACATCGTGTAACGGGTCCTTCCGCAGAACGTCGCTGTGATCAAAACGAGATAGAAAGCCACTCGGTCGATGGCTTTTCCCTCCACCTTTTTGCCAAAGTCGCTGTGATCAAAACGCTATAGAAAGCCACTCGGTCGATGGCTTTTCCCTCCACCTTTTTGCCAAAGTTGCTGTGATCAAAACGCTATAGAAAGCCACTCGGTCGATGGCTTTTCCCCGCACCTTTTTGCCAAAGTCGCTGTGATCAAAACGTTATAGAAAGCCACTCGGCCGATGGCTTTTCCCCGCACCTTTTTGCCAAAGTCGCTGTGATCAAAACGTTATAGAAAGCCACTCGGTCGATGGCTTTTCCCCGCACCTTTTTGCCAAAGTCGCTGTGATCAAAACGCTATAGAAAGCCACTCGGTCAATGGTGATTATCGTCCCTTTTCGCTAACAATGTCTTTGACATCCTGTATATTTGACATGCTGTGTCCATCGTTCTACCGGTCTACCCCTATATTTTCTTCCAAGAGTTAGTCCCAATTCCCCATTTCCTCCATTTAAAGCATGCTGCCTAAGATTAACTTCTCATCATTTAGCACAGTGGTTTTTCAACGTCCTGAGCCAAAAGAAAGGGGTCAACGTGAAAGTCTAGCACATTTTGGAACTGAACTGAGTTCTTCTGTACTTGAATAATATGTTTTGCAACTAATTCGTTTCCTGTTTTATTATGAATACAATATTTTAAAACTATATATATATATATATATTGTTAATAGTGCCAGGGAGTTTTTGTTTTGTCCTCTTTTTTTTTTTAAGTCGGGTTGTTTGGTGTGGGGGCGGGTGGGGGGGGGGGCAGGGCGGGTCTTGCAATATATTGAAGGGGATGACTGGCACCATAAAGATTGCCAATTATCGGGCCTTCCTGGATGGAACGCAGTTTTTGTCGTTATTTCAAAGCCCCACTCCAGCTGTTGTCAGGGGCTCTAAAAACCCTAGGTTGAACAGGGTTTCTAGGACCTACGCCCCGATAGTTCTTATCCGAATGTTAACACTTTGTGTCACTGGGTGTCTATCGCTCCTTGTACAGTCATGGTGGCGTTGAACTTCATACATTCGGGCACCATTTGAAAAATGTTGACAAACAACTGATTTAGTGAGTTCCTTACCAGGGATCTGAAGAATGAACTCTGCCGTTGTACCGGGTGAGATCGCTTCTGCAGTCTCGATTTCCTTAGAAACCGTCTCTCGAACTCGGCCTGAAGGGTTGCCTCCGATGTTGACCAGGAAGGGGCTGCCTGCAAATAAATAAAAGGGTGGATTGGTGAATGGTTCGTTAGATAGTGGAGTCAGATGATGAAAACGTAGGTAAAGGTAAAGTCGGGAGATGTGAACCAGCGTCACTGCACACGGTTATAAACCATAAGTGCTCTGCCACCAGTACGGACAACTGAGAAGAAACTGTCCGCCTGTGTCGCCGTCCGCACGCAACTCCGTAACTACAGCGACGTTCCTCCATTTAAACCTTAGTGTTAACTCTGGTACCCATTTCCTAGAGGCTGGGTGAACCCCGGGAAGCAGATCGATGAATCGAGAGGATTTGAAAACGAACATCTGTGCGTCACAAGAATGTTGCAAACCCAGAGCACACCTACACCTACATCCGGAATAAATGCCCACAGAAGTCGGATGTTTCGGCCGAAAGAAGCAAATATCGCAGTCATGTTGTAAACGAGAAGAACGTATTTACGTCTTCGGATGAACGCAGAAGAAGAAGAAGAGGACTGGATCATGCTTACTCTGCTGCATGTGGTTGTGGCTCGCCAAAGCAAACTCAGTGCATGTATAACAGGACTGCTCAAACTTGGCCAGTCAGAGAGAAGAAATCTGGCTCACAAGAGCGTCCCTACAAGATAATCTATGCGGCACAGAGAAAGACCTCAAGCGCACGGTCCTGTTTATGCCTGTATTGAAACGGAGGCATAACAAACACTGATTGCTGAAAAGAAGAAGAAGAAGAAGAAAGAAGAAGAAAAAAGAAAGAAAAAAAATGAAAAAAGGAAGAAGAAGAAGAAAAAAGAAGATGGGTCGAGAGATAGAATATCGGATAGTTGGATTGACATATGGAGATACAGATGCATAGATGTATGGGTTTAGATTATTTATGGATCAAGAGGTAGATTCATAGACACATGGATCGATAGTTGGATGGATACATGGATGATAAATAGGTTGATATATTGGCGGAAATGTATAGAAGACAGCTGGGTGGATGGGTATAGTGAACCATTTTCTCCTCGATAAATTATGACCCAGACGGAATGACGTCAGCCAATACAAATGAATGGAATATTTCAGTGTAACAAGGACAGCGACGTGAGTTACGAATAAAATCCTGGCCAGATGGAAGCCGTGTTAATCACGGAGAAAATGTTGGCCAAATGAAACCCATGTGAATCAGAAAACACGAAAAAGTCATAATTGTAATGTGGAGTTAGAAGGTTATATAATGCCTGAGAAAGAGCATGTGGGTAGTCTCGTTTTGGCCAAGAAACGGAGTGCGTGAAAAACGAAGGAGTGTTTGCGGATCCAGAATGTGTCTGAGGATGAATCTAGCTTCAAACGCCCTATCTGGCCAAACACCAATGATGGACGGTTTCTCGTCTGCCCGCTGAAATTGTGTTTGTGTCGTCAACACGGAGGAGGTTTGTGTGCTTCATTGTGATTGTTGGAATGTGCGATTGTGTTTCGATGAATGCAGGTAATATTGACTTTTTTTTCCCCCCATAATTGTTTGCATCAACCTAGACATGACTTCTTTCATGTACCGGCTGAGATAACAGGAAGTAGAAGAATAAAGTATGAAACATTCTTGTGTTGTTCGCTATCGTCTATTTTCTGCTCATCGTGTTGATGTCGGGGTGTGAAAGAGGAGTCTGCAGTAATTAGAGCCAAAGACATTAGGAACAGAGTCATTGCAATAGGTAACTTGACAGGTAGTCAGACTGATACAAACATAGACAAACACACACTCACACACGCAAGCACAACATAGAGACGGATGACACGCCAACACTTTCAGCAGAACAGGCGATCCCACTTACCCGGGACATCCTCGTCGGCGAACCTGATGTTGAGAATGTAGATGCCTGGTTCATGAGGGCTGTAGTGGATGGTGTAGACTCGATCCTCGATCTTGTAGCACTCCACATCCGAGCGATGGGGGCCCTCGATGGAGAAGCTGAGGCCACCGTAACCTGATTGGGGATTTCAAGAGGGAGAAGTGAACACCATGAAGTCACAAAGCTATGAAGAAAATCGTCATATCTGGTGATTATGTCTGAAGATCTGTAATCATTAGCGTCATTGTCATCAGCATCATCATCACCTTCAACGTCAGCATCATCATCACTACCACCATCATCTATCATGATCACCATTATCATCAAGATCATCATCATTTATTATTATCATCATCATCATCATTATTACTATATGGTTTACGGAGCCTCGTTTAACGCAGTCGATAGGAGATTCGCTTTCAAATCACACCTGCCGGTGTACGAAACCGGGTGGTTGTTGCGTTCACACAGCCTCTAGGTAATGGGTACCCCAGCCCCAACAATGTGACCCGGTAATCAGGCTCGGCTTTAGACCTGACGAAGACCTAACCTGAACTACAGCCTTTTAAAAACAATTTAACGTCACACCAGCTCATCTCAGGAAACTAACATCTATACGCCTTATAAATATATAGATAATCGAAATATACTTTAATTTTTATTTAGATAAATAAAATATTTGTTTGTAAAATCACATCAGTTATGCCATTTAATACTCGAAAAAAAAATATATATATATATATTGAAATTTTTTTTTAAAAAGCTACTTGCGTGTGCCAGAATCAACAGCAGCACTGGGGGAGGGGGAAAGGGGGGGGGGGGCTGTTGTGGTTTTCCTAGGCACATTTATGTTCAGTAGTTTGCCACGTCTCTCGATAACACTGTCAAAACCAACACAAGGCGGTATGCTACCATGTCGCCTGCAAGCGGGATCGCACCTAGCACCCTGGTATTATGAAGCGCGTTCGCAACGCCTAAGTCACAGACACCGATTTACTTTAATTATTTATATTTACTTAATGCAAAGTGTGCAAGACTACTACTGTTGGTGCTGCTGCTGCTGCTACTACTACCACCAATGCTACTACTACTGCTGCTACCACCGCTGCTACTATTACTACTACAACTACTACTACTGCTACTACTACTACTACTGCTACTACTACTGCTGCTACCACCACTGCTACTATTACTACTACAACTACTACTACTGCTACTACTACTACTACTGCTACTACTACTACTACTACTACTACTACTACTCTGCTGATACTGCTTCTTCTTCTGTTTCTTCTGCGTTCGCTCTTAAAATGGCCGCAGGCACATGTGTTGTGGTTCACAGCTAGGCTGCGATATCTTACCCTTTCAGCGTAATGCATCGGATTGTTGCAGACTCCTCATTAGGAAGGCAGTCGGTATTTCTCCCCCCCCCCCCCCCTCCACAACTCCCACACGGGGAAGGCACAAGACAAGAATAACAACAGTCTAGCAGTAGTGACCAACCTCCATGTGTGGTGTCCACCACGATCTCATTGGCCTTGTTGGCCACACCTTCGTTGATAGCCCCATGGACGGTACATCCAGCGGCATGTCCCAGCTCCTTGTCGCCCACAACGATCTTGAAGGGGCTGTTCTTGATGTGCTTCTCCTGCCGCATGACGTTTACCAAGTACTCGCCTTTCTGGCGCGGAGTGAAGTAAGCGATCCCTGTAGATAGAGGTTCCAGCAGATTCAGAGACTTTTTAACAGCACTATGGGCCCCTGAGCAAACCAGTGTGCTGGGGTCCCTCTGACATCTACTAACAGGAATGAAATGTAACTAGTCGATAATATCAAACACACATCTACTTTATTTGCACTTCAACAAAACTGGCGTTTGTGTGTCGGCGGGGGAAAGGGGAGTGGGGGGGGGGGGTAATTTTGGTTTATATTACATACAATTAATTTATACGTCAAATATATTTGTATTTATGGCAACTCACTTAGCACTGATATTTTCGAAGGACATCCTTTATGGTGAATTGAAGACGGGTAGAATATATCGAGGCCGACCTCTACTATGATATAAAGATGTGTGGAATCAGAACATAAATGATACAGGCATTGAGGTGGACTCGTGGGGGAAAAAAATCTCATAGACCGTAATATGTGGATGGGACACATCAGAAAGGGAATGAGAATGAAGGAAGAAATGATTGCAGAAAAGATGAGAACTGAGCGTCTGAAAAGAAACAGACTAAACACAAATGTTGACAACCTTCCTGAAATCCCATGCTATAATTGTGGAAGACTTTTGTAAACGCAGACGAGCCTTTCTAGTCACACTCGCCATCGCCATGGGCTGTGAGTCCCATGCCTCCTCATAGCGTAACATAACACTATCGTCTGGAAAGGTGGAAAGGTGCCAATCAATCAGTCAATCTTCAGTCAGTAAATCACACGTCTCAGTTCCTTTGTGCAGCTCCAGGTTGCACCTATGCCCTTCATCCTAGATGTGAACCTACCAGAATGTGTGTGTGCTTGTGTGTGCATATGTGTGTCTATGTGTGGAGGTGTGCGTGTATTCTGAGGTTGTGTATGGGTGTTTATGCTGATGTGTGTGGATGTTTTAACGGTGCGGGGTATGGATGTGTTTAAGTTAAAAGCTACAAGTATGTTAGCGTTTATTGCACGAAAATGTAGGTGTATGCACACATCCAAGCTGCCATACACAAAAACATGCACTCGCAACACACATACACACATCCATGCTCCGGCACACGAACACGCACACACACAACACAGATACACACATCCGTGCTCCGGCACACGAACACGCGCACACACAACACACATACACACACATCCGTGCTCCGGCACACGAACACGCGCACACACAACACACATACGCATTGACGCTTAAACCCTAACCAGATTAAATGTCAACGTGAATGAAATAAAAACAAACGAAACAGAAAGATGGATCCAACAGAAACGCCAATTATAAGAATGGCGTTTAAACAACAAAAGATCTTTTAAAAAAGAGTCGGAGAAAGGCAAGAAACAAAATGATTTAAACGAAAAAAGCTTAACAAAATTAACAAATTCTTGGGTGGCGTAACTGCACAAAACATAAAATAAACGTTATAGCATCTACACAGGGAATTGGTGTTTGCTGAAATGTGCACTAGCAAATACATGGAGCATAGGCGCTGAGGCCTGGGCGGTTCATGCATCACAGACCCTCTCTCCCCTACTACTTCCCCATGGGACATTGGGGGAGAGGTGGGGGGGGGGGGGGGCGTGAAGTAAGCAGGAAATCTGACTTTCAACGCTAACCGGAAAGGAAAGATAAACATAGAATCAAATTGTCATGAGCACCAGCGTCGGCATTGGAAGTGGCTGTTGTATATGGGGACGAGTGCTGGGATGTCGGGTTTTCACTCAAAAAAACTCACTTTGAGCCTTAAGGCCCAAGACATCTGATTTTAAAAACTGCTTAATTATCGGTCGTATACAATATGCGAGGTGATGGGCAGTTGGGCTGTTTCCTTAAATGGGGCCCCAGACTTTTGACGTGACTTGCTTTGCACACACACACACAAAATCGACACGTTTAGCTACTCGAAAAGGGGAGGGGAATTTGGGTTATAATTGTGACTAGGTTTATTTTTAGAGTAACTAACAACGATTGTTTGAAAGAGGCTAATGAAAGTAGATCTCTACATAAAACAATAAGAAAAAGACAAACAATGTTATTTGGCCACATAATGAGAAGAGAGACATTGGAGAACATCGTGATAACTGGAAAGATTAGTGGAAAAAGGGGAAGAGTCCGATCAATAGAGATGATGCTGGATGGGCTGAAATGATGGCATGGAGTGATATCTTCAAGAGAGTTGTTCCAGGCAACCAGGGACCGTGATCTGTGGAGAGACATGAGCGCCTACGCCAGTTGGCCGGGCACATGATGATGAAGTTTATTTGCGCTATATGAAATGGTTTGGCATTGCTCGCTACCAAGTAGCCCTGAAGAGAACTCCTGCAGTGTTGATGCGTTCATGGGAGACAGACCCAAATACTGTCCTGACCGACGGGGAAGTCGTCTACCGGCAAGCCAATGTGTGACCCGATGAGGAACCCTAGAACTAACAGGAGGAGGAAGAAAACCAACCATCATGGACAAGTCTGATTGGGAGAGAATCGGAGAATGGGTGAATCTGATGAATCAGAAATGAACATGGGAAAATGGAATGGTAGTTACAGTTGCCGATCGAGTTTCTCTGTCTCCATCAAGATTGATTGTACATACATAAGTAGTCATCTTCTTGTGGTATGCTTTTTCGTTATTTTGAAGCCCCACCATGGTTCTTGCCAGGGGCCGCAATATAGCCCGGTCATAAATATGGTCTAATGGCTGAGCGCGGTTTCCGGGACCTCTCCACGGGTGATCCTCATCCACATGGTGGCATTTTGTCTCATCGGGTGTTTATCGCTTGTGTGATGTCCTGGTAGGGTAAACTGTACTACTACTAAAAATTGTACACACACCCAGCAACTTAGAAAAAAATTAGACTAAATTAAAAAAAAAAATCGAATTGTACAATCTCTCTCTCTTCCTGTCACCCCAATGTGTTTCATCATCATCATTATCATCATGTAGGAAGTCATGTGCAGTATGTCGATCTTATCACAGCCTGCCTAATAGAAATTCCCCTCCTGGCCATCTCTTCCACCTCATGCACTTTGCCACCCTATGTATCTCTTATGTCTTGTACTAGTCGGCCACTGCTCTTCCTTCCTGGACCCACGCCGTCATATTGCTCCTCATGCCTAGTACACACAATCAGTACACTTCTTCTTCTCTTCCACCATTTACCTCAGCGAGGGGGGGGGGCGTGGGGGAGGGGGGATGTAAGGATAGTTTGTGCGCTTTTCCCAATGCATTGTATAGGCTGGATTTCATTTCTGTTAGGTTGCTCATAATGACGTCGTTCCATATTTCAGTGGTCTTCCCCTTGCTTTGTGTCCATTAGATTTCTTCAGCGTGGCTCCTCGGCAGTTGGTTCCAGTGCATTCTCGTCAGGTGGCCAAACCATCTTATTTGTTGTTCTTTAATGAATTGTATGACTGGTTTCAGTCCTGGTCTTCTTCTCATTTCTTCATTCCTGATTTTATGAATTCCTGTCACAGCGGTAGCTCTCCTCTCTGTTGTTACGATCTTCAAGTCATGAGATACAGCAGGCGAAAATGCAGCAGACTGCAAACAACAGAGATCACTTGTGAATGCCTTGTGTGCAACAGCGACATAAAGATTTCCCCTACAATAGTCTTTTCTAACGTCTCCCTACATACCCACAGCAGAATCGGTCTCATTTTCTTCACAAACACCAATGGCAGGGAGTTCCCATGATGTAGCGGTTAGACGCTAGAAGGTCGTGGGCTCGATTTCGAACGGAGTCGGACTTCATAAAATGACCTTGGCTCCCAGCTTTGAGTCGGTACCAGGCGAAATCCACACCAGTCTTGGAGGGACGAATGGTCTATAAAATATACGCCTAACACTATATGACCAATACGAACTAAAGGCCTGGGAGATTCCTTTAACCCACGGCAGTGATCGGTTCTGTTGAACAGTCAGTTGAACTTACCGAGCTCTCCGTTCTCCATCTTCTTCAGGATAATGGGCTCAATCTGCCCACCAGGGGTCTTGAGGGTGCCCACCAGGTCCACCACATCAGGCTCGATGATCTTCAGCGAGTACTCGGCGCAGTTACCAATGGACAACATGGATCGTTTACGTCCTTCGCCTGTTGGAAGGTAGGACCAAAATGTTGCAACTGCACCATATAGCAATACACGTACCTATACCAGCATATGCTACACAGAAATATATATATACAGTAAAACTTCGATTCGCCGTCACTCAGTCAACCGCAACTTCTGTTATCCGTCAAGTGAGTATCAACAAATAGACATCTTTAAAATTGTCCATAAATTACTTTTACATTCTACCAAAAACCTACAGCTGGCCACTCAGAAGCAGAAAGTACATTGACTGGTTTAAAATACAAAAGAATGCAAATGCAACTCAGATCATCTTGCGTGAGATACTGAACATTGCCGCGCAGAAAGCTGCAGCTTCAAAGACTCACGTGACAGAATATTTTTAAGTAACCTAAGTTTACAGTCTTACATTATGTATATTATTACTTTAAAACTAAAATTTATGCTAATCGTTTTGTGAAAATTAAATACAATGGGCCTGTATTATTCACTTTTAGAGGCTTTTATGTTAATTTTCATCCCAAACCCGCAGTGAAATCACGTTACTGTACAATGTATCAAGAGATTTCTGCTTCGGTCTATTCGACTATTTGTCACAGCCCTCGTTGGTCAGGTTGCAGTAAATCAAAGTCTTTTACACACAAAACTGACATAACAACAAAATAATCATTTGGCGACATGGCTCCCCGTCTGGGTTCCGGGGCTCCCATTATGGGGAGAAAATGAATAGACCCACGGGCTCCCTTACATGCATGTCGTAAAAGTCGACTCACTGGGAATGTTTCCTTTGAAGTCGTATTGCATCTATTGAAAGGCAAGGAACCAGTCTGCATACAAATAAGCAAGATTTGTAAACGGATGTACAGGCAAAGTTTAGGTTCTGGAACAAAACTAAAGTCCAGAAGTGGACGAACAATTAGAGCTTTTCAACAGGAAAGAACAAACATCAATTCTTAGACTTCGGACTGGACACTGTGGTCTTCGAGCACACTTGTACAGGATAGGCATAAAAGAATCTGCTGCCTGTGATTGTGGAGCAGAAAGACAAACCCCTGAACACATACTGCAGTACTGCCCTAACCTCTCCCAGCAAAGACTGTGGATCTGGCCCAAAGGAGCCACATTGCAAGAGAAGCTATGGGAGACCGGTGGCGACCTTAAACGCACAATCCTATTTGTGACCCAGACGGGACTCAATGTTTAGCATGACTGATATCGAACGCAGAAGAAGAATTAGAGCTTTCTGCCGTAGTTTCCAGCAGGTGAACACGAGGTCAAAGAAAAGACTAACATATTGTAAAGACTCACACACGTTTATCTACTTAACTTAAACATGTATTTACTGACATGAAGTCATAGGTTTTACATGCGTACCGTCGACAATTGTCGATTCTAAGTTTATCTGCAAACCTGTGAAACCTTTTAACCTTTTATTACAGTTCCTCATCTTGTTTCGACCCTTTAATACAGTTCCCTCATGTTGTGGCTACCCTTTAATACAGTTCCCTCATGATGTGGCGAACCTTTAATACAGTTCCCTCATGTTGTGGTGACCCTTTAATACAGTTCCTTCATGTTGTGGCTACCCTTTAATACAGTTCCTCCATGTTGTGGCGACCCTTTAATACATTTCCCTCATGTTGTGGCGACCCTTTAATTCAATTCCCTCATGTTGTAGCGACCCTTTAATACAGTTCCCTCATGTTGTAGCGACCCTTTAATACAGTTCCCTCATGTTGTAGCGACCCTTTAATACAGTTCCCTCATGTTGTAGCGACCCTTTAATACAGTTCCCTCATGTTGTGGCGACCCTTTAATACAGTTCCCTCATGTTGTAGCGACCCTTTAATACAGTTCCCTCATGTTGTGGCGACCCTTTAATACATTTTTTTTTTATATTGTGGCTACCCTTTAATACAGTTCCCTCATGTTGTGAGGACCCTTTAATTCAGTTCTTCATGTCTCTGGTGACCTCTGTGAAAGGCTCGTTCGACCCACAAAAGGGTCGCGATCCACAGGTTGAGAGCCGCCGATTAACCCTTTTCGACAGCATTATTTTGAAATAAATTAAATATAATTTAAAAAAAAAAAAAAGCAGACAATGTATCGAATGGTACTCATAGAAAGAAGTAGAAAGAAAGAAGAACAATTAGAAAAAGAAATGAAAGAAGAATTATTTTGAAATAAAAACTCCTCGTTTCTTCTGGTTTTACCTGCTGGTTCTTCGTCCATTTAGACTTTGGCTTTGTGCCAGGGCCTGAGTTTTGCGTATACATCCATTAAACTGGCTTTTGTGTGTGCAGTTTGGCTGTTCCTTGCTGCACGGGCAGATGCACTCCGATTTCGAAGAAAGCTCCCAGGTAGTCGACTCTTACCACATGCCTTGGTGGGGGAGGGAGGGAGAGGGGTAGGGAGTGGGTCTTATAATGTTTTCCAGCAATGCCCCGGCCCCCCTCCCCCGAAACCAACACGGGGAGGAAAAAACAACAACTAAAAACCACAACAGACCTGATATTTTCGACACAAAAGGAGATCCTTTGATTGTTTTTCCATGATACTTGATGTTAATGTTGTAAGCTCCAGGGGTCATTGGCATGTAGCTGAAGTTAGCTGACCCGTCAGGATTATCTTTTCTCTTGAGATCCACTTTAGCTGGTCCATCAATTTTAACTTCAATCTCCTCTGTAATAGGATAATCATAGTTACAGCGAACTGCTTTGTAAAGATGTTCTCTGTCTGTCGGTCGGTCGGTCGGTCTGTCTGTCTGTCTGTCTGTCTGTCTGTCTGTCTGTCTGTCTGTGTCTGTCTGTCTGTCTGTCTGTGTCTGTCTGTCTGTGTCTGTCTGTCTCTGTACTGCGATATAACAGAAAAAAATGTCTACCCAGCCAAGAAGTAGAATGAGTCAGCTTTAAGATACAACACTCTTGAACGAGAAAAAAGCGATAACGGCTAAAAAGCCTTTATCAGCAAATGGCACAAAAAGACAGTGATGCCACTAGAAACAAGAATACATAAAAATCACCTAGTTGTACATTGAGGTGTTTCAGAAAATACCCATTTTCGCTTGAACAGTAAAAGCTCTGTCCTCACGTATCGACGCAGGAGTAAGACACTGGGCAGGAAGTAACCCAGTGGGTTGGTACAGTTAAGTGAGATGAGAGGACACGGCAAGGGACGTAACTCAAAGATCGTGTTCTGCTGGAAGATGAAAGGCAAAACCAGACACTTACTGGCAGTCCCTTTCTTGGCCACGACGGTAAAGCTCTCATTCTCGCCGCTGAGGCCTCCGACCAGCCCGGTGCCAAAGGCAGTGATGAAACTGTTGTCGATCTTGTCCACAACACACGAGAATGGCGAACCTTGGGAAGAAAAAAGTTATCAGTCGATCAGTTTTAAGAACTGAAGCTAGACGCATACCCGTCGACCTGAAGGTTTGGGGCTCGAATCCACAACTCCCCATATGGATTCAATGGCTCCAGTGTGGCGCAAAAAATGTTTTGTACTTTTAAAAATAATTTTTGTAAACATTATTTCCTAGATGGTCTTAGATGTTCAAACATTGCATTTCTCTCTCTCTCTCTCTCTCTCTCTCTCTCTCTCTCTCTCTCTCTCTCTCTCTCTCTCTCTCTCTCCCTCTCTCTCTCTCTTGTTGAACCCCACCATACACAAACGATTAACACCCAGTGACACAAAGTGCCATCATGCGGATGAGGATCACCCTTGTAGAGGTCCAAGAAATCCCTTTCAGCCGTTAGGTCATTTCTATGGCTAGGCCATATTTATGTCGCGGCTATATTCAGGGTCCCCGGTAAAGGCAAGGGTGGGACTTCAAATAACGAAAAATTGCATCCCACATGAGGACTACAACTGTACCACTGCATTTCAATTTTATTTGTATTTGTAGATGTTCAGACTTTGTAGATTGTTTGCACTTTTTTTGTTTTAAATCCTGATTCTCGTTACTCAAAGAATTTTCTACGATATGTAAATTCAGATATCTTCGTGTTATCACTCTATACAAAACAAATATATTGGATTGATAAGATAAACGGATGAGCAGACTGAATCGAACATTATCCATACTGATAAAGATAGGAAACAGTGGAGGGTCATTACAACTAGAAACTCCCTTGGCGATAATATGCCTACGTTAGCTAGAGGAGATATCTCTATCATTGTGTGTTTACGATACTATTTTTCTTATTGTCTCAGGTGCAGAAGCTGTTTTACTGCCGACCTTTAGTCTCACCATTCCTTTTCTGACGTCAGGGAAATCCGAGCTTTCGGCCATGTTTTTCATACCTGTTTGTATGTTTTGTTAAGTGCGTTTATGGTTCACGTCAAGGGAGCTTATTCCCGGGATTTCCCAAGTTCCTTAGCTGGGACAAGGAGGACATCTGACAGAAACCAAGGTAAATAACTCTGGTGTTGATGAACCTCACCACATGGAGTTACGCGTTCTTTGATCAATCTGAGTGTTCGTTCAGCTAAGAACTCACATCAGCGCGCTCAGGGCATCTCTATAACCGCTCCGTCCCTATCTTCAGCAACCTAGGCATTTCCGATTCCGGTGGTACCAACAGAAGTCTTTTTGTACTTCCTTCTTGCCTTTCCTCTGAGTTTAGAATGTCGGTCAAATTCCCTGGGCACCCCACGGTGCATTATTCCTCACATCCTGATAATCTGTTTACGCTTCCACATTGAGCGCAGTCATGCATCAAGTCACCACGAAGTGGCGCAGAACCAGCCAATCGGTCTGCTTCTTTGTTTCTCAATTCACCAGAAGACCGCAGCAAAAAGATCACAAGAACACTGTTTGAAGCCATGTTTCAGATCGTGTGGAGTGCGTACATCCCATTGCTAACTACCACAAATTAAGACACCTCTTAATATTTATCAAGTGTTTGAGAAAGACGGTAATGCAATGCCTACCCAGTTTATCTCCCATCTGGGAGGTAAAGTGTTGGAATCTCCTTTAAAGTGGGAATTTTTGCAATGACTCGGACCCCTAGGCTGAGACAACCTACATTACAGCACCAGGAAATAAAGTTAAAGTTCCAGTTCCATTCTAGAAAAAGAAATCAGAAACTTGTCCACGTTCAACCTGCTGCTGACAAGTCTCTGGTTATATTTGTGGTCTGGTTTATTAGAGCCACTTGCGTGGCTAAGATTGTGGTATGTGCGTCAGATCTCTGGCTTTATGTTCCTATCCTAGTAACTAGACCGCCCCTTCCTGTCTGTGTTCCTCTTATATTTATCTTCTTGATGCCTTTCATCGTAGGTCATTCTCCCTCCGGTTCAATCTCCTTATTATTCTGCACATGTGTCCTCCTGTGTGTTTCTGAATCTGTTCTCTTCTAGACTGGCCAGGCGTATCTCGTAAGAGAATATATCCAGTTTCGTCTTTTTTGGGACGATATTTTTTGTTATTTGAAGCCCCACCCTGGCTTTTGCAAGGGGCCGCAATATAGGCAGGCCATAAATATGGCCAATTGTCTGAACGCGGTTTCTGGGACTTCTCCACGGCGATCCTCGTCCACATGGTGGCACTTTTTGTCATCGGGTGTTTATCGCTTGTGTGATATCCTGGTGGGGTAGAAAGTCAGTCAGTCATCTCGTAAGAGACAGCGCTAGTTCCCAACTATTCTTTACATAACATCCTTGCAGATGACCATTTGGATATAGTTTAAAATTGTGAGTATTCTATTTTGTCAAAAGTACTGAAAACAGTTGTTGGGTTTGGATAGATGTGAAGTGTAAATAATTCGTGTTTGATCATAGCGGTCTTGCAGATGTCTTTCTGTAATACGAGCAGGTTAGTCATACAATGGTGGTGTGGATGAAATGGTTGATGAAGCCTAACTATGAATCAAGACGTTATCAGTCGTAGTGCGGTCCGGTTGTGGTGGGTTTGAATGGTGGATCGGGTCTGGTATGTGCAAGTAATAGAATCCTCGAACACTGAACTCAAGTGCTCTTTGCAGACTGTTGTATGGGAAGGAGAGTTCAGGGTTGTTGTGAATGGAACCTCCATTCTTTGGAACTCGCTGAAGATCGTTGTTGGTTGTGGGATTGGGACGCACACGTTGGCAGGCTTTACGTGCCAACGAATTCATGTGTTCTCAGAGAAGACTAGTTCTTGGAGGTGAAATTCCTCTGGCAAGACATCGACGTGGCTGCTTCGGGATACGTCAGTTAAGTGCCTTTTGTGTATTCGTGTGGTTTTGTTTGATTTACGTATGTGCTGATAAAGGCTCTGTAGTCGCAGCGTTAACTTTTAGTTTGTGTATTGTTATATTGTGAAGCTGGCTGTCTACTTTTCATTCGGTTTTATGATGGTTCTTGGGGGAAAAGGTAAAAGGGGGAATTAAGGGGGGGGGGGGGGGGGTAGGACGCATAGTGCAAGGTGAAGATTGTTGGAGATAGAATGGTAGGAAGTCTATATAATACTTCAAGACTATGCGACTGTTTTAACTTATTCATACCATCACAACACCTGATCCACCTACAATGGACCAAGACTAGACAACTGTTTTAACCCATTCATGCCATCACAACACCTGATCCACCTACAATGGACCAAGACTATGCGACTGTTTTAACCCATTCATGCCATCACAACACCTGATCCACCTACAATGGACCAAGACTATGCGACTGTTTTAACCCATTCATGCCATCACAACACCTGATCCACCTACAATGGACCAAGACTATGCGACTGTTTTAACCCATTCATACCATCACAACACCTGATCCAGCTACGATGGACCAAGACTAGACAACTGTTTTAACCCATTCATGCCATCACAACACCTGATCCAGCTACGATGGACTTCATGTTATTTCCTAACTGTTTTGTGATGTCCCACTAAAACTATATGGACATACATCTGCATCGACTGAAATAAGACAAAGAAAGTGGACATATATTGGGCACACTCTGAGACGAAATGAGCTAAGAATTACGTCGTCTTCTTCTTTCTTCTTTGCGTTCACCAGCTGTAAGCTCTGGTGAAAGGAAAGTTTTGGTTGTTTGTTCACTTCAGAACTGCAGTCCTGTTCCACAACCTAAGTGTTGCGTGTGCATCCGTTTTACAGATCTGACTCATTTGTGTGCAGACTGTTGGTTCCTTGCATCTCAGGCAGATATACTCCGACTTCAAAGGAAGTTCCCAATCAGTCGACTCTTACGAGATGCTTTTGGGTAGGCAGTGGGTCTGTATTTTTATGTCCCTATAATAGGGCCCCGGAACCCACATGGGGAGCAAAGAATTACAAAACAAGCCATGACAGGAGAAACAAACGGTCTTCTGCTTCTTCTTCTTCTTTTTCTTCTTCTTCTTCTTCTTCTTCTTCTTCTTCTTCTTCTTCTTCTTCTTCTTCTTCTTCTTCTTCTTCTTCTTCTTCTTCTTCTTCTTCTTCTTCTTCTTCTTCTTCTTCTTCTTCTTCTTCTTCTTCTTCTTCTTCTTCTTCTTCTTCTTCTTGTGTTCGCTTTCTGATTTACACCGAAAGACAGGCTCTTGTGATAAACATGACTGTTTTTATGAGTTCCTTTCTAGTCCCATACAACTTTGTGTGCAGTGATGACTCACTGGGCCAGTATTCTCTTCTGAATGGGTTGAACAAGGGACAGTCTTGCAGGACATGTTCCGTAGTCTGCACACATAGCCCACAAGGATACAAAGGTGAACTACTTAGAGGAAGCCTGTGCATTTGCTGGTTAAGTTTGTTATGTCCTGTCCTGAGACGTAGGATAATGACCTGCCCATGCCGGTCAAGTAAGTGGTAGTCATTTCTGGTCAGACTCTGTTCAGTTCTAATAGCCTGGATGGCCCTGGACGGTCTAAGAAAAAGAGGACGCCCAAGGAAAACAATAAAAAGGTAATTATTACGAGAGGGCTAGGCTGAACTCCATGTCAGAAATCTACAGAGTTGCATGCAATAGAGCAGATGGGACGAATCAAATGCGAGCCCTATTTGACGTTTAACGGCTCACAAAGGATGATGATGATGCTGTGACTGTACGGTTGAACATGGGTTTCAAAGATTTTACTTGGTCTGATTCTCATTCTTGAGATGTGAATCCTACAGACCGCAGTCATAGAGTGGAATAACTACTCAACCATGTGTGGAAGGATAGAAGCACCGACCGCCAGTGTCTACATATTTTAACCATATGGTGTTAATCTACACGTGCTAGTGTTAATTTCACGCCGCATTCTTTCCGCGATCTTTCTGAATAAATGTATGTCTTTGTTCTTTCCGGTGGAGCATTGGGTATCTTCATTTCTGCTGATTTATTTTGAGCAGTCCTTTTGTCTACTGTCAGGAGCCACGGAATCTGAAAGTTTACTCACTTGGACCCCATAATAATTAAAAAAAAAATTGATGTGGCTACTTCTCCCCATTTTTATTCCCCACATACACAAACCACATATATTGCAATTCTCGGTACTATTCACTTTTTTCACTCAACCTCATCAGGTGTAAGATTTCAAAGAAACCCCCCTATAGTTCTAAAGTCTAAGGGTGTTATAACTTGCCTTTAAGCCAATGATGTACTTCATCATCAATCAGCAAGTCCTTTGCAGAACGTCGCTCTCTTCACGACATGCATGAAAGTATCCCTTTTCTAGCCAGCTCTCCGGCCCTATGTGCTTTCAATGCCAATGCATCTTCAATGTCTTTTATCCATCTTCGCGTTGGTCGACCCCTGCCTCGCTCTCCACAAACTGCATCTTTCATGAGGTTTGCTGTGGCCAGAATACTTCAACTTTTGGGATAGGATGCTGTTTATTAGCTAGTTCTCTCTGACGCTTATGACCCATTTCTCCCTGATGTTCAACTCATTCAGAATGTCGATGCTTTTCCTCTTCCTGATCCATGGTATTCTAAGAATTTTTCTATAACATTTCAATTCAAAAACTCCAATCTTTTTCCTCAAGGATCGAGTGAACGTCCAAAACTCATAGCCGCAAGTTGCAAGAGGAAAAATCATGATCTCACTATATTTACTTTAACGTGTACTTAGAAAGTGCTAAAGAGTGTCTTGGCTTCGTTCGACCAGGTCGACACACTGTCTCTATGACGAGAGTGCGCAAATTTCTCTTACCCAAACGAAAATAACCAACAGTATTTTCCGTGAGCGACTCTCTGTGTGTGTGTGTGTGTGTGTGTGTGTGTGTGTGTGTGTGTGTGTAGTAGTAGCAGCAGCAGTAGCAGCAGCAGTAGCAGCAGCAGCAGTAGTAGTAGTATAAGTAGTAGTAGTAGCAGCAGCAGCAGCAACAGCAGCAGACCGACTGCCTCCCTAGCTGCCATGTCGTAAAAGACGACTAATTAGGGGTGTGTCCTTCAAAGTTTCAGTGCATCTTCTTGAGAAGCAATGAATCAACAGTCTGCAAGCACGTTACCCAGATCTACTAAACGGATGTGCACGTAAAATTCCAGTTCTGGAAAAAGACTAAAGTCCAGAAGTGGATTAACAGCCAGAATTTGCAGCTGGTGAACGCAAAGAAGAAGATAAAAGTTTACTGCAAAATGTTAACAATTTAAAAATAACCGAATTCAGACAACTTGAGATTAGGTGCTCGGTTATCTTGCCTACGCTCCTGTTGTCATAATAATATCACCATGAAGCTTAGCGCAGTCGATAGGAGACTCGCTTTCAAATCCAGCTGCGACTCGCTGCAGCCCACGGCTGTGTTCGAAACCTGGCGGTTCCCAGGGTTCATCCAGCCTCTAGGTAATGGGTACCAGAGTGATACTCTAGGGTAAATGGAGGAACGTCGCTGTAGCTACGGAGTTGCGTGCGGACGGCGACACAGGCGGAGAGTTTCTTATCAGCTGTTCGTAATGGTAGCAGAGCACTTATGGTTTATAACCGTGTGCAATGACGATGGTTCACATCGCCCGAATTTACCCTTACCCATACAAGTAATTATATACGCAAAGTTACGCATACGACAAATAACATGCTACATAGGAACTATTTGTCCACATCTTTTAATTTTTCTATCTATCTGTGTGTCTGTCGGTCCGTCCGTCCATCTATCAACCCACCCACAACCCATCCACATACCCATCTATTTACCTGCATGCATGTCTCTCTCGCTCGCTCTCTGTCTGTCTGTTTGTCTGTCGGTCGGTCGGTCGGTCGGTCGGTCGGACTGTTGGTCGGTTTCGGTTTACCTTTTTTGTCTGTCTACCTTTTTTTTGTCTGTCTGTTTACCTTTTTTTATCTGTCTGTTTACCTTTTTTGTCTGTCTGTCTGGTTACCTTTTTTGTCTGTCTGGTTACCTTTTTTGTATGTCTGCCTGGTTACCTTTTTTGTCTGTTTTCCTGTTCACCTTTTTTGTCTGTCTGTTAACTTTTGTTTGTTTGTCTGTTAACTTTTGTTTGTTTGTCTGTTTACCTTTTTTGTCTGTCTGTCTGCTTATCTTTTTTGGTCTGTCTGTCTGTTTGACTTTTCTCGTCTGTCTCTCTGTTTACCTTTTTCTGTCTGTCTGTCTGTTTACCTTTTTCTGTCTGTCTGTCTGTTTACCTTTTTTGTCTGTTTGCTTTTTTTGTCTGTCTGTCTGTTTATCCTTTTTTTGTCTGTCTGTCTGTTTACCTTTTTTGTGTCTGTGTGTCTGTTTACCTTTTTTGTCTGTCAGGCCTGTCTTCCATCTGTCTCTTTCTTTCTTTTTTTATTTTTTTTATTTTGGTATGATTAATTGCAGATTTCCCCATCCTCCTGTCCCTGTAGATTTTTATTTTCACAACGACCCCGCCCTTTTATCTAAACTTCCTCCACCTCTCCCACCTTCTGGTGTCTCCCCCACCCCTATCTCTCACACAGTCTCTCTCTCTCTCTCTCTCTCTCTCTCTCTCTCTCTCTCTCTCTCTCTCCCTGCACCTGTTTTAGATGCCAAGACTTGCCTTGTAAAAAGATTACAGAGCTGCACAAACCGTAAATATTTATAACAGTGCTCATTATGGTAATTCTGTCTCCCATAGTCGCTATCTACAAAGATTCTCTAGCTCTCTGTATGCCTGGCTGACCGTATCTGTCTGTCTGCCTATCTGTCTGACTGACTGACTGTCTGCCTGGCCGTGTGTCTGACTGTCTTTCTAACAGACTGTTTGTTGTATGATGCCCGTCTATATGGTTGCGCACGTAAATAAATCCCTTGGCAGTTGGAAATCGAAAAGAGTAGCCTAGCAGCGCTGCCCGGGTAAAATTTGGAGAAAAAAAAACTACCCAAAATATTTCAGGATCCTCGCCGGTGATACGGAGCTCGTGCACTGCGCTGACCTATTTCGTACTCAGACCTAACCGTTTAGGTGACGTCAAAAACTTGAATGGACACACGTATACACCGATGGATCATTGAAGAGAGCAGACAAAAATGGAGGAGCTGGATCGGTCATCATGCTGCAAGATATGACCACAGTAGAAACGTCATGCGCCTCCGGAAGACTCTCAACAAACTTCAGAGCAGAGCAGCAAGCAATTATTGATTCAGCCAAAATGCTTGAGGACAGAAAAATTAAAAGCAAAATTGTTTTCCTTTGTGACTGCATGTCAGTCCACCAGGCGACTCATAGGGATCCACGAGACAACATGGAAAGAGAACTGACCCGTCAGCTAAACAGACTCACAGAAAACAATAAAATCGTTCTCCAGTGGATCCCGGCTCACTGCGGCATACCAGGAAATGAGTTAGCAGATAAACTTGCAAAAAATGGAACAAAGGAGAAACTACATACCCATTCATTGTCATTACCAGAAATCAGAACACTTATCAAAGGAAAATTCAAGGGATTGTGGAGAGAACAAACTAAATATAATAATAAACAGGTGTTTCAGAATTAAGCAGAGCGACTGTTTGAGAGAAAGCAGGCACCTAAGCACGTCATAGGCATTTGAACTTTTTTTTTTTTTAATTATTATTAAAACCACTAGGACGCATTTCATTTGATCACGACTAATTGTAACAGTATAAACTAAATACATTTCGTAAGTTAAACTAAATACATTTAGTTAGTGGTAAATACGGAAATGCGGGGATGAGATGGTGCCAAATTCCGCAAGAGACCAACGAATTAGCTGTAAAAATTAAATAACTATTACCAAGCGTAGAAACATGGACAGGGAAATAACTCGGCCAAGCAGGATGAAAAATGTGGAAAATAGAGTGACGGCGGTTAAAGTGATAAAACAAGTAGCTTTGTAGACCTCAAATGTTGACTTGAAAGCGTTTTTCGCAAGGTAGTTTCGAGGCTTGATCAGTTCGTATGTGTAAGCGATAACAGTAGGTAATGATTACATTGCATAAGGTATGACGTAATATTTTCTTCCTCGTCGCTTCGCTGTTGAGAGTATGCGTGCGCAGCTAACATTGTAGTGCTGTTAACTTTCACATGTTAGTTTATACAGCATGCAGCGAGTGGTCTTTTTGCCTTGTTCGAGACGTAACCCGAGTGACTTATTTGTTATAAGTAAACAATCATAAGACATAGTACAATAACGCATTTTGTCTTTGGCTATAGAAGGCGTAAGAGGAGGCTACAGCTATTACAATGTACGCCTGGCCAGTGTCGCAAGATGACATTTTTTGCTCCATTTTGGGGTCATCATTATCATGGAGAAGGTCAAGTGAAGAACGTCGCTATCATCACGGTCTGCCTAGGAAAAAAATCAGTCTCTCACCGTGTGTCCTGCATCATGCACTCTTATATCCAAGGAGTCATTTATATCCTGTGCCCATCTTCGTATTGGTCGGCCGCAGCTCCTCCTTTCTGGTACCAGGTATTTTGCTATTAGGTTTACAGTCCACAAGTGCGCTTGATGTGGCCACAACATTTCAGCTTCCGAGACAAGATGCTGTTGATAAGCTAATCTTCCTTGATGTTCAGATCTTTTGGGATGTTTGTATTTCTTTTCTTCTTCTTTATCCCTGGTTTTCTGATAATTTTTCTATAGAATTTCAACTCTATATTTTCCTCCTTAAAGACTCCGAGATAGTCCACGACTCACATCTGTGTGTTGCTACAGGGAAGATGCATGCTCTCAAAAACTGTAACTTTGATTTTCTTGCTGGTGCTTAACCATAAACTTTTATTTCTCTTTAATTTGTATATTGCTATTGTTATCCTCATGTTATCTTCTGTTGAACAGTCTCCATTGCGCTTTAATATGAAGCCTAGGTATTCAAAATTTGCAACATTTTCAATTTCCTCATCATTTACTATTGGGGGACAGAAGGCATAAAAAAGTAACTAAAAAACTTCATCATCAACACTGACTGGTACTCACCTTCAACACTACTACCTTCGTAGTTCATCTGCACCTCGTGCCTGCCCTCGAGTTTGGGCTCGTACTCCACACATATTGTGCCGTCGGTGTTGTCCCTGACATGGGGTCCTAATCCATTCCCAGACGGCATGGCTCTCGCTACAACTCAGCCTGAAAGACAACACACAGACACGTCAATGTTAGGGATTTGGAGAATATTTAAAGGAAAAAAAGGTAGGTGCATATCCTTTACAGGACGTTGCACAACCAACCCCAGCATTTTTTGGGTGTGTGGCTGTTGTGATTTTTCTAGGCAAACTTTACGTTCAGTAGTTTGCTATTGCTTCCTCAACTGTCAGCTCTCGGTACCACTGTTGAACCCAATGTAAGACAAACCGTCTCCAGCTGGGATCGATCCCGGCATCACAGTATTACTAGGCGCGTTTGCAACGCCCAAGCCACAGTAACCGACCTATAAAGTAAGCCAGTAGAATAAGAGATAACATAAGAATTACAAGAAATAGCTTCTCGCGGTCAATAGGGCTAGTCAAGTGCTGGTTAACGACTTCTTGTATCATCATTATAATCGCCTGTCTCTCTAAGGGCATTAACAAAAGCGACGTGATCCATAGGCTAGCTTTCAGCAACCAATGCAGAACTTGCCAATCTTTCAGATCTTTCGTTGCTAACCATAACTATATACCATGGGACAAATGAAAAGGTTACTGCACACACGGGAGAGTTTTGCATTGATTCCGTCCACTAACTGCGCATGGAGCCTGTCTCTACCCGTCCGATCAGGTTCAAAGAATCACTCAGCACACTTCCTCTTCTTCTTCTTCTTCACTTCCTCTTTTACCGCTGTGAGTGTCGAGGGAGCTATAAGGTTCTGTTTCTAGCTCTTCTGGCCGCCTCGACCATAGGCACATCGTGCTGTTGTAGAGTTTCTCTGATGTTATCCTTCCATCTCGTTCTTGGTCAACCTCGTGCTCTACGTCCTTCTTCTCTTTCCATGTATGCTTTGTATGGTATGGTGTCACAACAGAAAACAGAAACTCAGCACACGCAGGCGGTAATAGTTGTGTGATCTTAGCCACATGAAAGCTTATTCTCCACCATCACCTCCATCGTTATCAACGGATATAAGACAGATAATGGCGCTATTCTGGACACATTTGAGAAAAGACAGAACAGAACTCGGTATATTCTCATAAGCGCGCCGTCTCCATCTTCAGCGGTCAGCGAAGAGTTCCAACTCCAGCGGTATCAGTACCAGTCTGATTGTATATCTATCTTCCCTTCACTGTGAATGTAGAGAAGTCGGTTAGATTTTCCGCCTGCCACCTGTAAGGTCCTGAGTTCAAGGCTCTACTGAATCTTTTTGTGCGGCTTCGTAGCTTAGAGGCCAGCGAGTGCCGTTAACACTTTCACGATCCTCAAGCGATGTGGTTCGTTCTCCGTTGTGGGCGGTTAAAAATCCGTTCTCTTGGTTTTTGGACAGCGGTAAGAGAGTCACACCCCGGAAGAAATGTAGGACTCCCCCACATACAATTTCCAAAGAGAGCAGTGGTACACTGTAGCCAACCTTCAGTGTGAAGACGGCACAGACCAAGTCAGGCAGATTCTTCTGGTCACTAATCTTTGCTCCATCCTCTCCAGACTAAAGGATCTGATTATACCTTCGTCGTATTCTGTCCGGGACTTAACAACACCTAGCCCAATATGGGTCAGCTTACCACCGAGTGGTACAGAACCAGCAAGTCGTGCTTTAAACACTCTAACATCCCACCCAAAATACCCCCTCCCCCCAAGGAGGAGTCCTTTGGTTATAATTGTGACTAGGCTTATATGCGGCATATAAAATGGCTTAACATTGCTCGCCCCAAAATAGCCATGAAAAGAACTCTTGCTGTGTTGATTGGATCAAGAGGGACCGGAATAAATACTGCCCTGACCGACTACGTAGTCGTCTACCGGCCAGCCAATAGGCGACCCGGTCGCCGATAAAGACCCAAAATAAACTTATCTCATCATTCGCAAAACACACTCTAACACCATAAAGACGATCTATGATCATATTTCTAAACGCTGTAAAGATATTTGCCATTTAACAAATTATAACTTTTATCGTTCATTATAATAATGATGAAGCTCCTTAAAACGTCTAGGCCTCTTCAGCCCTGACAAACCCATCCCCACCATCCGCTTAGAGGATCTGTGTAGAGCCTGAGGCTCCCCTGAACGTTTTCCTCGAGGTGGCGCCCCTACCATGGAGGGTCCCAGAAACATTTCAGTCGTTATGGCCATATCTATGGCCTAGGCCATTCTTGAATCAGATAAAACATTTCAAGATCTCTTGGCTGCTTCATCCGGTAATTCTAAGACAGCTTCATTGTCTGATTAAGTGCCTGCATATATAATATTAACATTTTTTTTAAAAATAAATGTGTGAATTAGATTTGGCTACGAAACGCGGTGGCCGTTATGTCAATATTTACAGGAGACTCACACAGGAGTATATTGTTTGCGAAAGTCGGTTGAAAATTTTACGATAAAAGAAAAAGAAGAATAGGAGGAGGAAGAAGGCGAAGAAGATGAGTACTGTCAACCGAGAGGGAAGGTGCATGGGATACCACAGGCACAGCATGGGGTTAAAAAAAAAGAGGGGGGGGGGAGATGTGGGGGGGGGGGAGTCGTGGTTCAAGGAGTGTTTAATGGTGTACAAATAATAATAATAATAAATAGTATGCGCTGAATAGTAAGAAAATAATAATATATTTTCAATAACATGAAATGTATAAACATTTGCTTAATTAGCCTCAGTCAACATGTCCTTTACAGAACGTCGCTTTTCCCTCAGAGTCGGCGTACATCTGCCGGTGAGGCAAGGAACGGCAAACAAAAAAGCCAGTAAAACGGATGCACACGCAAAACTCAGGTCCATGTAAAAGCCAAAAGTCCAAATGGACGAACTACAGGTACCTTCCGCGGGAATTCACAGCCGGTGAACGAAGAAGAAGCAGAAGAACTTCGCTGTCTTCACGACACGTCAGAATGTCTCTCTTTCTCTAGCCAATTTTCCAGCCCTGTATGCTTTCATAACTAATGCATTTTCAATGTCTTGTATCCATTTTCGCAGAGGTCTGCCTCTTCCTTGTTTTTTTCGAAACATCACTCCCATCGCCGTCCCATCCAGGCCACTATAACGACCTTTAACATTGTTAAAATGCCTCATCTTTCGGGGCAGAATGCTGTTTATGAGCAAGTTCCCATCAAATGCTTAATGACAAGACCTCTATATATTGTTCATGTGCAGGGCTTTCTTTCTTTCTCTCTCTCTCTCTCTCTCTCTCTCTCTCTCTCTCTCTCTCTCTCTCTCTCACACACACACACACACACGTACACACACACACACACCACACTAGATTTAATTTTATGGCTTCACCCGAGAAATGCAAGTTTTAATCTCCTGTCCTTTACCTCATCCTGGTCCCACAGTTAGCGCTACCTCCATCTTAGCCCATAGACCCCGGTCGTGACTCATGGTTACAATTCGGCATGTTGGCCAAATCCGACCGATAAAGCAGCCACCTCTAACGCCAACACCTTACAGTCTACGTTTCAAGCCAAATAACAGAAAAATGTACATTTGTTAAACCTAAAAAGGGAACATCACACATTGGACATGTACTCCGATCTCCTCTTGTGTATGAATAAAGTTTACAAAAGTGCTAGCAGGGAAAGAGAACGTTTCAAGAACAGTCACAAAAATCATAAGATATCTGCTTACTTTGTCTGTCTATTCCATCCCATTTAATATCTTTTCAAAACAGACATTAAATACTGTTATTGGGAAACTTCCACTCGTTCTGTGAGTTGGGAAAATAACTCCAGTATGCAATCGTCCAGGTGTTATCTCGCTTGTTCCGCCTGTTTGTGTAAGTTGCGGCGTTGCTTATAAATGTTATTACATGTATGTATACATATTTATGTAAGTCGGTGTGTTTACAAATGTTATTCAACAAGTTTATGCAAATATAAGTTATAGTTCTATTTGTAACCCTGCTTCTAATGCTGCAGAAGAGCATTAGCTAGAGACTTCGAGTCGGTCCAGGGATTTTTCAATCTGCATACCGTCAGTTTTTAACAATTTACCTTGGCTCCCATGTCTCCCAAACTATCAACACCGGTGTGTGTGTGTGTGTGTGTGTGTGTGTGTGTGTGTGTGTGTGTGTGTGTGTGTGTGTGTGTGAGTGAGTGACTCTGTGTGTGTCTGTGTTGGGCTTGTTTGTTCATATGTGGACATAATATGAGAAGGGATGGAATCGAGAACTTGATAACAACTGGCAGGTTAGTTGGAAAGAGAGCAAGAAGAAGACACAGAGAGAAATACATAGATGGCCTGGCCGAATGGATGGGGCGAAACAAAAACATGATTTAGATTCTGGTGATTGTGTAAGTTGGCGAAACGCGACAGCCTACGGCATATGATGATTATATATATGTATGTATATACTGTTGCACGCGTACTGGGCTTTCATTTCAGTTGTAAACACTGTCCCACTACTACTTAAGAAGTATGCCGTCAAAGGCGACACATGAGGTGTTTGCGGAAATGGGATGTTTTTGGCAGAAAAGCTCAGATATCACAACCTTGCTTTAAGCGACATAAATTAGTGCGAACCGCCTTTTTTAAACAGCGAATGCCGACGATAGTGGTGGTGGTGATGGTGGTGGTGGTGGTGGTAGTAGCAGTAGTAGTCGTAGAAGAAGAAAAAGAAGAAGAAGAGGAGGAGGAGGAAGAGGTGGAAGAGGAAGAAAAACCTCTATACCCATCACCCCTTCCAACACCACCACCTTCACCATCATCACTATTATCACCTGTAATCACCCCATCGATCATCGTCACCATCGTCGCCACCTCCATCACCATCATCACCAACACCATAATCACCACTAGCCTTTCCCCTACCCTTCCAGCCCACCACCATCAAGTCTGTTACAAACACCTTCTGTTTGAAAGCTTCCTAGACTTAAGTTCTCGGCAACAGAGTCACTCTGGGACGTGTACCACAAGAATCGAAGAGTAACGACATTTTAAGGATCTTCCAAACATCACATTAGCAGAATAATCGTCGCCTCTGGCTGGCA